CCACCCTGCAGATTGTCTGGGACAGCTAAGCCCTCCTTTAGATATGAAGAAGAAAATAAGACTTTTCCAGACATACAAAAATCGAGAGAATTCTCCACTACGAGGCATGCACTATAGGAAATACTGAAAGGGGTCAACTCACCTAAAACAAAATAACAAAACAAAATACATAATTAGGAGGTAAGTGGCTATCAGGCAAATAAGAGCAGAGGAATGCATCCTTACTAAGAATAGGGCATTATAGCTTAAATAATAAGACGTGCATTATAATGAGATAGTAATGAACATTCAGCATACATAGGAAAAATTGAGATAACAATGACTGAAAAGGGGGGAGATTCAAATCCAGATACGGAAAGGGGAATGGACACAAGGCGCAAGCAGAAGAAAATGCACAACTGTATGTGTGTGTATGTATGTGTGTGTGTGTGTGTGTGTATATATATATATATATAACAATCCTTTACATATTTGTAATGGTAAGCACACGCCAAAAATTCAGAACCGAAGGATATAATATAAAACAAAGACCAGAGGGAAAACCCATGAAACCCGACCAAAATAAAGAAAAGAGAAACAGAAAGACAAGGAAGCAGTGGAAACACCGAGCTACCAGAAGGCAAAAGATAAAATGGCAATAAGAGGACCTCATATCTCAGTAAGCATCCTAAATGTAAATGGACTGGACTCACCAATTAAAAGGCACAACTTTGCAGAATGAATCAAAAAACAAAACTCATCCATATGCTGCCTCCAGGAGACACATTTTAGTTCCAAAGACTAATATAGACTCAAAGTGAAAGAGTGGAAAATAATATTTCAAGCAAATGGCATTCAGAGAAAAGGGGATGTAGCAGTACTAATATTGAACAAATGAGATTTAAAAAAAAAAGGAAAGAAAGATACTGAAGGACATTTCATAATGATAAAAGGAATCATGCACCAAGACTACATGACATTTAATAATATCTATGCTTCCAATAGGGAGCCCCAAAATATATAAAGCGATTACTAACTGAAATAAAGGGAGAAACAGAGCTAAACACTATCATAGTAGGGAAGCTAAATACCCCACTCTAGGATATGGACAGATCATCCAAACAGAAAATCAATAAGGAGATAACATCCTTAAATGACATATTAGACCAACTGGCCATAATTGACATTTACAGAGCCTTTTATACCAAATCAGCTGCTTATACATTCTTCTCAAGTGCACATGGAACATTCTTGAGGATGACAACGT